AAAACTGCGAGACTTCAGTAATGAGAGGAATTCATGTGACTGGATGACCCTCCCTTGGCAGTTTACAGAGCTCCTCAGGCTAACAATGCCGGGATAGATTATACCGTTTCTCGACAACCTCGCTGCTGCCAAAGGGAAGACTGCCGCAGGTAGTACTTGTTTCGGATTTTTTCAGTTAATTAGTTGAAATACAGAAATTAAGACAGATTAACTTGATTGTGTTCATGCAAATTACACTGAAATCCATCGCCCAGCAAGGAGCAAGTGTGATACCGACGAGTTTCAACATGGTGAGGATGCAGCAGAACCTTGACATATTTGTTTGGGAATTAAATGAGGATGAAACGAACAAGAACAGGCAAATTCCCCAGCGCAGGCTGTATTCCGGGGAGTTCTTTGTTTCTGAAGCCAGACCTTACAAGTAACTCGACCAACTCTGGGATGACGACCCCTTAGTTCCATGCTACCCGAAACTAACTTCATTTCAAGTTCCATGCATTATGATCTATATGCATCTTATGCCTTCTTCTTCTAAGATTAATTCTCAATGTTAAAAGGCACGCATAAACTCCCACGAAGTCGATAATCTTTTCAGCTTTCACAGTTAGGTATGAAACAGTGAGAATTTAATAACAGAATCGGACTGTGGGAGGTGCTCTATATGTACAGTGTAATTAATCTTGAACGCAAATCTCTTGTTAACGTGCGTGATGAAAGGCCATCCACATTTACCTTCAGTGTGAATGCTGCTTGGGATCCATTTCAAGCTCTGGAACGATTTGATAGATGCATCTTCTCAAAACAGAAAGCTTTTCAATAATCAGGCGGTAGCCTATATGTGCGAGTGATACGGATCTGAAGCAAAAGCAATAAAACTATAATCAGAACAAAATGAATAATACTCCTCACGATTAAGTCTCATAGGAAAGACCAGTGTTTAATGTGTTAAACCTGAAGGCGAAAAAACACAAGAAAACTAGAAAACATCAGTACCTGCGCAAAAGCATAAATAGCTCGCAAGATTCTTGCATAATCAGTCCCGAGCATTTGAATAACAACATCTGCCAAAAATGTTCCCCAAAGCCTGCATAAAATTGCAACAGAAATAAACTTGGCATGATTGGCTTAATCATCAAAATTTGAAGCAACATTTTACTTGTATCATCAAAATCTATGCTCTCAGAGGACTTTCCAACCAAGCAGACAATGAAGCCAATGAAACTTTGGAAGGTACATTTTCAGTTACAGGCCTACAGGCTACAGCCTCAAAGCTCTTCCAATGTGAGAAATAAATCCAACAAAAACCAATTAAAAAAGGGCAGTGATTAGTCGCATTCTCTGTATGATACTCATCTCAATAGGTGCAGTCTAACCTACAACTTATTCTCAATGAATTGAGTCAGTAACACAAGCCGTTTTAACCAAAAATAACTCTTGGTTACTGAGAAGTGACTATCTTTTATGCTGGCATCAGCTGCACCTACCTAAACTCTCCTCCTTATTCTATCTTCTTAAAAATTTGAAATACTTTAAACACACGGAAAATGATACTTACACATACACATTTGTGTGCGTGTGCCTGCGCACCCATGAGTGGGAGGGTGTGTGTGAAATAAAGTCGCAAATGAACCAAACAAGCAAACATAGGGAAGCTTGAAATAATAATGTTTAGAAAGTAAAGGAAAAGTCAATACACTGGGCCAAGCAAAGCCATCATGCTTCTTAAACCAATATATCTTGATGCAGCACCTGCAAAACCCTGTCAAAATGACAAATATTAGAAATCCAGAAAGCCAGAAATGAGAGGATGGGGGACGGGAGGGACATGAAACAATATTTGAACCACAACAACGAAAGGGGTTTCCTTGATATCAGCAAGTGCTACAAAGCTACAACTAATTCAGAGCTTTGTCGAAATAATACTAAGACCTACACAAATAAAAAAGCCACTAGCTCAAACAATAGTTTTTCTACATACATATAAAAATTCCCCTATCACATAAAGAAGTCATAAAAAACAGTGGCAACAAATTGAATCTTCTGCAGAATATAATTACCTGTTTTGCCGCAAGAAAGGCTGCTCTGGACTCGAGATTCATAGCAGCTAATTGTCCACCCTGAAAATTAAAAAAAGTACGGAATTACATTTCAAAAATAAAGGGTGACTAGATAAACAATAGAAAAGTCATTACCATCACAAAGAGAAACACTAAGTATGATAATGAAAGAAAAACTAGCATAAAGCTAGAAAGAGTTAAACAGACACGGATATGAGAGATCAGATGACATGAAAGCAAGGAAAAAACCTTGAAAAATATCGGACACAGGAGGAACACAGTAATGTACACCCATACGACAGGTGACCAAACAATTTACTCACTTATGGTTCCTTTATAGCTGTGAAGTCAAAGATGTACCTTTCTAACAAAATCCCTTTTTAGCTGATAGTTGGCAGCTTCTAGGAAAACCTTTCCAGATAACTTTCTAGCTAACTACCACAAAGAAAAAATAATTAAAGGTATACAAAGAAGAAATGAAATAATCAGTTTGGCTTTATTCTTACTTACCAACTGATAAATCTTCGCCAAAGTAAAGATACCACCACCCTTCAGAAAAAATCATAAATCAACAAAATTAAAAAACATGAACTCAAGTTGGACAGAATTGATTGTGCATAAATTCTTTGTAGTTAAGCTACATTACCTTCAAAAACATTGATCGGAGCTCTGCTGCCCCAACTTTTAACGCACTAAGGGCCTGTACCTTCCATTGACTGAGTCCAAGTTGAAGACTTTGTTGACCATCAGACAGTTCAGGGAACTCCAACAAGCCCTCGAAATTTCCTGATTCTTCACTACATGAAGGAAGTGAAGCATTTTAAGTCATTACAACACACACTTAAAATAAAAGAAAGTGAACCCTTTTCTATAATACAATGATCCACCAAAACATTAAGTTGCCAAAATCAAATAGCACTGACAAACTATCAACTCATCAATGTATGTACCAACTCGTTCAAGATATAGTCTCTTCTATGCTTTGCTTTCTACCCTTCCTTACACGTTCACCACACAAATTTTCGTCTATTCACTTTCATACCTAAAGGTAGTGTTCTTTCAATCCCTCCTTCCTTTTGTACAAGTACAGAGAGATCAAAAAGTAAAGTCATTTCTACTTCAGAAACTAATAAACAACGAGGTCTAAATACTAGAGAAATATATAACTACATATAGAAAACATGCCTTGAATAGTCTCGCAACAGATGAAGAAAAATCTCTGCTTCAAGGTCTTCAGTTGACAATTTGCTTGAGCAAGGAACGTTTAACTCTTTTCGCACTGCAAGCAAGACATTCCTATATGATGGCCTCCAACCCCTACCAAGAATTCCACACACGCCAATTTGATAATCAAGATGAAACTCGCCGACAATTATGTCACTAGCAGTTAGTTTAATAAAGAAATACACAGAGTTGAAACAACTTTGCATTGCCAGGATCCTTCACATACAATTCAGTGGCAAGTCAACCTCTAAAACTTGAGTAACATTGCCGCCAAACAAGTTAACTAATGAGGTGAATTTTAAATTAGATGAGTTGAGGAAAACCTTATCGTAGACCGTGCATCGGCTGCAAGGAATAAGAATCGAGACTCCAATACTGCTAAAAACTCCTCTCGTTCATCGAGATCCTCTTCAACCATTGAATGGTCGACATTGGTTCTACTCATTATAGACTTCAGCAAAGGGCTGAAGTAGCTGGACATTGACTCCATCCAAAGATTAAAAAACGAAGTCATCACACTACGAAATTTGAATGCATCTCAAGTTTGATTGACAATTGACACTACCCCTTTGCTGAAAAAACGAAAGAGTGTAAAATGCAAGACACGGTTTTTCTTTTCTTGTCCAAAGTTCCACACTATTGAAACAGAAAGTATCGATTTTGAAGTTACCTAGGGCCAAAAAGGATTCTTTCAAGCTCATATAACTCGGAATCGGTGGCGAGTTCAAGCACAGAACGGAGTTCAGGATCAAATGTACCTGAAAATTTAACAGAAACCCAATTTCGGATACGAAATTCTAAAATTCGAAACAATCCACAAATCTAAACCCAAAAGCAATAAACCAAAGTGTACCATGCCCTCTTCCTGAAATTGCAGCACGAGCACAACCCACGAGCCTCACACCAGTTGCAGACCACCGTGAGCTGCTTATCTGTTAATTACGATTGCAATTGTTAATAAAGGCAACAAATTTATTAACTGGGTTATGATAATAGAAGAAGAAGGCCTACTGGGTAAGTGAGTTTAGCGGCGGCGGCGGTGATTGGGGGAGCAAAGGGGAGGTGGAGCGCCAGAGCTGATGAGGCAGTGGACATATCTCACCGCACTCCGTTGCTGCAAAGCGGCTGCTGAGAGAGTGAAAGTGCTATCACAGATGTAGAATTCCGGGCTTCATTCGTTTCAAGTGTTCGCTTTTCGAGTTGTGGGAATTGCAGAGATTGTACGATGCTCAACTGAATACCTTTTTCTAACTACCACCATCGACTCATATTCCAGGCCTTTCTTTTATCTTTTATCCTCATTTTTCTGTTAATTTTTATATGTTTACTGGAGGACTAAAAGCGGACCGACCCGGTTCAATTGGGAAAGGTATATGTACGATTTCGATTTCGGTTTCGGAGTTTTGAACATCTACCCCTACGCGAATTCGAATCTCCTACCCGCAGTTTAGTTTAGATTAAATTAATTTAGCATATATCGTCGCTTATTTCAAAATAGTGATCGTTAAAGTCTAGTCTACAACTGAACCAGAATTGATTTTCACAACTGTTTAGATCTTTATTTTTTAAATTTAACTAATTATTCTCGTATTATGCAATGATCCGTAATATTAATTTATTTTGAAGATCTTGGACGTTTCCCCGGTCAAAAGCAAACTCCACAAGTTCCATGTAACTTCTTTATAGAAGGGAGAGAGAGGGAGAGAGAGTAACTGGGTATATGAGGAGAGAATATATTTAAAGAATGTATTGCAAAAGAAACAAATGTAGTGATACAAACTTGTCACTGTGAATATAGTCGCCCAAATTGTGATCTAACATATTGCTCCGGATGCATACATATCTCATGACTACAGCTTTAGTACACGAGGCACTTACAAAACCAATTTGACCAAACTTCTCTACAAAGGTGCCTGTGAGTCGACAAACACAAGAAGCCATGTCCGATGATTCTTGGGGAACAGGCTACTATTCACACTTGATGGACCGGTATATGTGACGGACAAAAAGCAAAGCTGCACGGAAGCCTACAGTCCCAAGCATGAGGAAGAAACCGTAGCAGATGCATGCCATGTAACCAAAGAAGAACGACGTTTGCATGAATCCTGACATATCCGAGCGTGCGTAGTAGTAATACAAACAATACGCATAGATAAATAGTCCAGTAGACCCACCACAGAGGAAAGACCTGTAACGAAACCAACAATACATCAGTCGCGGTATATATTACATCTTCTGAAGTTAAAACTGGCTTACAAATTGACATAAATGTAACATTTTCAAATTAAACTTAATCAGATAATATGGAACACATAATACTAGGACCACACTAATGATCAACCAATGCACTGCGGACACTAAAATTAATTAAAAAAAAACACACATGAAGACTACCGAAATAAAGGAGAGCCGGTAACAGCAAACATATGACTTTAATTTTTTTGTTCTTTGGAACGCATACACAAGAATAAAAAGCATAGTAACTTGCATACCCTAACCAAATTAGAATGCACCGATAATAAGCTACTTACCTCCACCACCACTCATGGTCCTCGGCAGCAAGTTGGAAATATGTCAATGCCACAGTAATGAAAGCAGTAACGATCAGAAGAATGATAAACACAATAAACAAGATGCTGTAAATGGTGTAAATCCTGTGACCCCATACACTGGCAAATATGTAGTACAGTTCAATGTATATAGCACTGAAAGGCAGAAAACCGGCCATTGCCATTTGAGGGATTGTTGCCCGGTACCAAGGTAAAGGTGGAATCTCTCTGGGATATTTAGTGGTGCGAACAGGGGCTTGGAACTCAGCTTTGCTGTTCTTCCCAGCAATCCCACCTAACACCAGTAAAGGTGATGTTACAAGTGTCCATATCAGAACTATAACCACAATTGTGCCGAATGGAAGGGCAGCGGTGGCCGTATAAGCAATTGCAACAGTATTCAAAAAGCAGAATGTGAGGAAGAGAGGTCCACAGAAGAGGCAACCCGTCAACAATAGATTCCTAACCTGTCATAACAGAAAGTTTGAACCTTTAATTATTAAAGCATCAACTTCAATCAATAATACCAAATCCATAGCAGGGATAATTTATCAGTACATACCCAGTTTGATCCCTCTAGCTGACAATAAAATGACGTAGCAGTATAGCCTGCAATTCCTGAAGTGAGTGCATAAATGACAACCAGAGCAGTAAATAAAGCCCCTCGGTTGTATGGATAAAACACACCAACAAGTGCGAGTATGAAAATGAACACCGTACTGCATGGAATGGAAAAAACATGAGAAGCTTTGTAAACTGAGAGGTGGTGGTGCTACACCTATAGCTGGATAAATGAGCACTTACAGAGTAAATAGTTGGGTTCCTGAACCTAGAGCTGCTGCAAACAAGGACTTGTATTTGGGGAACCGAAATACATCTCCGTGGATGTATTTCCATCCCGTCTCTTCCTGGTCTTCAGCTGCTTCTTCATCATGGGCATATCTTTTATACGGAAAAAGAAACGTAAATGTAAGAACGGGTGAACCGGCACACATAAAACAGGGACAAAAGGATTACTTAATATACTTACTTGACAAAATCATTCTTAAGCACTCGCATGAGAATTGTAGCAAGAAACCCAGTCAAGAGGAGAACTGTCACGCATGAATTTATAATTGAGAACCAGTGGATCTCCAAATGATGAGGCAAGGATGAGGACTGAGAATACTTATCCATCCTCTTATCGAAAGGAGTGGTTGTTTCCTTCCACTCCACAGTATACATGAATTCAACATCAACTTCTTTATCCTCTGTAAGGTCAACCAGTGCATTTGGATCTGTTCGAACATTGACTTCAATCACGCGGTCCTTGTTATAATAGAGATCAAAATGAATGTGCTTATAAAGGTAGGTCTTGTACTCGCTCGGGTCTTTGCCTTCCTTGTCAACCTTCCCTATGAAACCCCAAATGGGCAAGTCGTCATAATACATCTGGAAGTAATAGTCCTTGTTGACAGCAGATCTGAACCTGGCTACTTCTTCCTTTGTGAGTGTTTTCTTGCAAGCTACTTCGGTATCTTTATGCCTTAGGAACTCAAGTTTGTAAGGGGCACTGACTAAACGATCCCCGTTCAATACTTCACCAAGAGCTTCCCTTTTCTCTTTCACCGCATCTGCAATTAGTTAAATTCAATTCGTCGGAGAACATGAACACGTATTGTGAAGGAAGTAAATATGAAAGAAACGAATCGATTTGATACAAACCTGGTGAGCAGAATGGGAGATCAAAGTATCGGTACGTTTCACTGGAAGCACCCAAAAAAAAACAAAAAGAACAAAAATTTAGACCATCAGGAACACCAAATTTCCACCACAATCAAACTAACATACAATTTATTATCTAGTTGAGCAAAAACAGAGTTAAGATTCGAAGAACAATACACATGCAATTTCGACGAAAACGAAAACACAGGTTGACTAAAGAACTTGATGGCAAATGACTAAGAACCCAAATCAAATCTTTCAAAAACAGATCAAGCTCTGATATTTACACATAGCCAATGAAAATTCAATTTCCAAATCACAATGTCTAGCTTATACCAGCTGAACCAGAACTTGTAAATCATGCAAATTTTCTCAGTAACCAAACAAATGGGTGGGAATAAACTCAGATCCATAACAATTAACAGTGAAATGAACAAACCCAGAAGCTGAATTGAGCTAAGAAAGCATGGAACTTTGAGATCGAGCAGGGTGGTGTTGGGGTTTTACCTGGGGTTATGAAACGGGCCGACCTTGTTGGCATACAGAGGGACAAAATCTCCTTCCTTGTACCGATGATCCGACCCGTCGGACCTGACTAGATCCGCACCGGACAGAATTAGCAAGGCAATGATGCAGTGTACTCCCACCGCCATGGTCTTCCCCATTCTCTCTCTCTCTAATCTCTGCAGAGATAAGACAACCACGTTCAGTATATATATTTGATTTGATTTCCTAGGTCTGGTTTGGGTCTTTGGTCATATATTTTGGGATGTGCTATCACACATCTAATTTTACTTCTCATACATTCTTGATAATTCATGTTCGTTGATCTTTTTAATTCATCTGATTCGACGATCGAAAATTAAAAAGGTGTGTAAAAAGTAAGATGAGATGTGGATATCACTCCTCTATATTTATTTGGGTTTAATTAAATATTAATATTAATGTTGTCATTTAATTAAATGTGTTAAGCTTATGGACTTGGAATTTTTTTTAGAAAGTTTTAACGAAATACTTTCAGTACTGTTTACTTTAACGAAAAACGACATTTTTACTCTAAAAGTCACTCCTAGTACTATTCACTTACAACACTTTTTTGTCATTTTGATTAAAACTCAAAATTTTCAAGCCATTTTCGTTAGTTTTTTAATTATTTATTTATTTTTATGTTGTGTGTTTATTTACTAACAAAATAGAAGGCAGATAACTAATAATCACACACTATTTTGTACACTTAATCTGTGTACAATATTTATTCTATTTATGCAATTCCATAGTCATAAATAAAAAAGAATGTGCAAAAAGAAAAAATTACCAAAAAAAAAAAACACGTTTTTAATATTATAATTTATAATCAAATGCTTGAAAATTATGAAACAGATCAACTGGGGGCTTGTGGTGACAAGGTTGTCTTTGACATGAAATTAAGAAAATGTAACCTTTTCTTTTGTATCTTCTCTGATTTATGAATTCTGTCATTTAAAGCACGTAATTGTAATAAACATGTTTGTGTTGAGTTTTTTTTCTTGCACGCACAAAATCAAAAAATTTGTCACTCCGACAATGTAATTAGTAATTTAATACTTAAAATTTTATGTAATTAGTGGTGTGGTGGTCGTGACCTTCAACTTCAACTTAGTGTAGTAATATCGATAAGAAAAAATTATAAACTCAATTGAATTGAAATTATTGAATCACATTACTGGTAAATAACATTTTATTATTATGAAATTTTAACTAAAAGCTCATCGTAGTGTTCACTTTAACAAAAAAACTATATTTTTAAACTAAAAAAATCAATTATGATACTATTCACTTTACCATTTATTTTGTCCTTATCGTTAAAATTCAAAGTTTTTAAATCATTTTCATTAATCTTCCTTTATTAATATTCAACAAAATAATTATTAGTTAATGTGGAAATAATTTGTTTTGTTTTAATGTGAAACAAAAATGAGGCGAACAAAGGTGACGGAGACGGAGTGCCTCACCACGTCGTGAGATGTTTGATGCCTCACCGACGCTTTGGTACCTACCTTATGCCGTAAGGTGCGTCTCACGCTTCTCTTTTTTTATTTCTTCTTTCTTTCTCTGTCTACGTGGTGGCACGTGATTGGGGAGCTTTGTGGGGTGAGGAATCTGGTGGTTTGGTGGTCAACTCCTTGGGATGATTCCTTGGCCTCCTCCCTCCCTATTCGGATCTGAATTCCCCACCTGGCCACGTAGCAATATGGGTTCACTTTCTAGCAATTTGGGGTTGATCACAAAAATAACGCTACATGAGAAATTTTTATTGTGACTGGAAAATTTGATAAGTAATGAAAAATAACTCTACATCACGTGTTTTTATAAGTGATGAAAAATTTTAGATGAAAAATTTTATTTTGTAAGTTATTAAATTTTTAACATACATATTTCATCATTTATATAATAACATTTAGTATACTATTTCGTATTTCGATTACATTGAAAAATCTCTCACGCTACACGCATCAAATTTTTCACCATGGTTAGGCACTAGTCGAATGGGCTTTGACGGACTGGTACACCCGTTGAACCAATCATGGACTTATTCACACATAAAGTCCAGCCCATCTTGTCCAGAGCAATATAAACTCCAGGCCCATCGAAGGATTATGAGCTCACATTTCTTCCGATGTTGGAGGGCCCAATTTTGTCTGAAGGGAAAAATGAGAAGCCCAAATTTGTTTCAAATTGTTCTTAGATCATTCTGTGTACATAGGAGGCCGCACAACAAATTAAGAGCCGAAATGGACGGAATGCGTGATGTACTCATGTTGTCTCTTTACATAATTGAAATAGGGTCACCCACAACCACAAGATGGTTCAGTAGTTCGAAAAGAATTTCAAGTTCGTATTTCACACGATGCATTTTAGGTTTAATTTGCATCACTAGTGAATTACATGGTGGTATTGAAATTATCATGTCAATACTACTAGGAGATACCAAACCATAGACAACTTAGATACTGCTATATAAATAGTATGCATTTGAAAATAAAATTATTATTTCGTAACTCAAAATAATTTTTTTTTTCAAAAGTAATTCAAAAAAGGTATTACCCACTTTATTTTCTCCTTTATGTAATTCACTAGGAAGTTTTGTATGAATTTACTATAATTATTTTATTGTTTGTTAGATAATTATACTCTTAACAATAGCTCGTTTGAAATTGCGTTTAAAGTTACTAAAAAAATATTTTAAAATAACTTAAAGTGCTTTAAAATGACTACTTGCACATTTTTTTTTTCTTCTTCTAAATCTTAAACCAATAATGCTTTTAGTCATTTTAAAAATATTTTTCAAAAGATTCGTGTCTTCTTCTTTAATCTACTATATTCTTATAAAAAATGACCAACCGATGGCTTCACCACGACAGTCCACCATTCCAGTGATTGAAAAAACCCACTGAGGCATTTCAGCCCTTGATCACTATCGTGCGATTCATCAACAACAAAAATCGAACTCTCTGTTAGATATAAATTAGTATAAAATTCTTATTCTTAATAATTTATGCAACATAAGTTGTATTTTATATTATAAAGGAGTTTTAACGAAACATTTTCGGTAGTGTTCATTTTTAACGAAAAAAACATTTTTACTCTAAAAAGTCATTATTCACTTACAACACCTTTTTGTCATTTTAATTAAAACTCAAAGTTTTCAAATTATTTTCATTAGTTTTCTTTAAGAAAAATAACAATAAACGAGAATAGTGACATATTAATATTTTTTTATGGTCATAAAATTGAAAGTGGTGAGTGAATATATTCAAGTTATTCCATGAGCATCAAAATCTAAAACTAATCGAAGCTTTTGGTTTTTGGACCACCTCCACCTCGATTCAGGAGACTACGCCTCCCTCCTCCCAAAAGCCTACAAAGACGAGAAACAAAAGAAGCAGCAGCGCCGGCAGCAACCGGCCACTGCCATTCCCACCAGGTGCCTCTCTTCTCTTCCTCCGCCGCTCTCTTGTTTATCTAACCACCGTTTCTTTTTTCTAATTTCAGGTTTCAACCTTTTTTTGTCCCCTTCTCCGATGCCCAGAAATCATTTTCCCCATAAAAATCACGGGTTTAAATTAAAAATCAGATCTTGATTTTCTCCGGCCGAGAAATAGTCTAGTGTTTTGTTGCAACGGCTATGAAAGTTTCGTGGGATTTGAATCCCACTCCGCGAACTTGTAAATCTGTTGGGATTTTAAGGGTTTGTAAATTTTGATTTGTGGGATTTGGGAATCGCGGTCTGCCTGTAAATGCCCGATCCACGTTGAGAATGCGCGGTTACGGGATGGAAAGTCGGGCCTGCACTCTCATGTGATGCATTTTTACAACTTGGGTTTTGAATTTTTTCTGAGAAAAGTTAAATTGTTTTTCTTTGTTTGGTTGCTCGGAAAATGTGGGAGAAAGGAAAATAATTTTTTTGATATTCTGAATGTTCCATTTTTTTCATTGTTCAGGACAGTAGAAGGCAAAATGGCACCAGTCTTTGAGCTTAATACAAGGTAACTTCTTCACTTTGTTTGGAAGGAAGGAATGTGAAGTTCGTTTCTTTCATTTAATTTTTAGAAAATCTGTTATGTTTTTTTCACTTTCTTAGCAAAGTGGGGCAAACTGGAAGATGGGTTTTTGAACTTTTGTTTAGGATGAGCTTTTGTTAATGGTGTGTTCTCAGGGTTGGTGGGTGCTTGTTTTTTTTATGCATGCTTGTAGGTTTTAGGAGGCTGAAAATGGCGGACTCAAACTCTGTTGACGTTATTCTGGACTTTCTGCGGAAGAATAGGTTTTTAAGGGCAGAGGCAGCTCTTCGAAGTGAGCTTGGTAATCGTCCTGATTTGAATGGTTTCCTTCAGAAGCTTACTTTTGAGGAGAAGGATTCTGGTCATTCGTCGGAAGCTGAAAACGGGGACAAGCTAGTGGTGGAAAATCAAGGCTTGGGATCTCGGAATGTTGATGAAGTTTCTCAGGAACTTATAGTGAAAGAGATTGAGTGTGGAACTGGTAGAAATGGGTCTGAAAGCAAATGGAAAAAGGCTGCTTCTATTGGGGAGTGGAATAAATCAGTTGATGTGGCTGGGACAAATCACAAGAGCTTTGCATTCTCTAAAGGTTTAGAGGACACCGTGCTTGATTTATATTCTTGGAAGTCCAGTCCGAGCAATGGACCTGCAGAACCTTATCAAAGTGATGGTGGTGGTATTATCAGTAACTTCCCAGAGCCTCAGATATCCCAACAATCAAAGAACCATACAACTGAAGTTCCCAATTCAGGTAAAGCCATTTTGAAATATGGAGAAGAGATTAGCTTTTCTGGTGAAAACAAAACCTCTTGGTCTGGAAGTACTAGCAAACCTAGTGTGGAATTCAAGTATGACAGAACCCAAACAAGTGAACCTAAGGAACTTGACCGACAACTTACGACGAGTACCACGTTCTTCAAAGAAAATACAGAAGAGTTTTGCTTTTCTGGTGAAAAGAAAACCTCTTGGTCTGGAAGTACTAGCAAACCTAGTGTGGAATACAAGTATGACAGAACCCAAACAAGTGAACCTAAGGAACTTGACCAACAACTTAAGATGAGTACCACATTCTTCAAAGAAAATGCAGCAGAGAATCCTTGGCCAAGAATCGGAGAACCAACAAATCCACCTTCAGAGATGTGGAAAGATTGTTCTGTCAAGACCGT